ATAGTTTATTCGTCTGAGCCTTCTTCTTCTCTACCTATACACACACACCTGGGATGCGAACATTTGCCTCAATTCGTCTTGGCGTTTTCTTGCTATCGCAACCTGGCGAGTGAGAAAGTGGTTGCGTATGGGGAATGCTGTGCAAGTCTGTCTCACTCTGAACCACTTCACACGAAAAGCACTGGTGTTAAAACGACTACTTGGAGCATGTAGTCAACATCATCGCTTGCCACGATCGAAATGTCAGTGTCTCGATTTGGAGCTGGCGTATGGAACCCTGCGCGGTCACCTCCTGACCTGCGCCATTGATAGTTGGTGAGCTTGACCCGCATATACTTGTTCCCCTTTTGCTGCTGCTGTTTTCTCTGACGATGAACTCCTACACGAGTTTGGAAGCTCGAAATAACAAACAAACGGTTTTGGTGCTCCACCGGTCCTTTACTCGTATGGACATCCGGAACGCAGACCTTTGTATCTATCAGTAGGTACTGTTTTTGTCTTGCAACGACTCCGTGGAGCACGTAGTCAACATCATCGCTTGCCATGATCGAAACATCAAGGCAGGAATTTCAATTTGAAGTCCATGTGTCCGACGATCATAACATTTCCTAGGCCTGCCTTTAATGTTCATTTTAATCAATTCAAATAGGACGATGGTGCGAAGTAAGAAGACGCTAACCTGGTAGGAGTCCCGCTTCTCCCGATCAAACTCCACAGAGGCCGTTATCCAGCCGGACACTGGATCCACTCGGAAGTTGGCATGATCCAACAGGGAGTAGATAATCTCGCTGTTCGCACCGCTGTCCGCATCATGAGCACTAACCTAGAGGAACAGAAAAAAGGCGTTATAAATCCAATTCACTCTTTAACTGAAATTGGGGACAGGGACAGCGCAAAGCAGCAATCAGGCTAAACCAGCAAACGCTAGGCCCAGATTGCAGTCCTCAGGGCGAGAACCCGTCGTTCAAGTGATTACCTGTTTAGCCCAGTGGTAATCCACATTAGCTATAAATCTCAAACCTGAAGAAGCCATTGCCGGAACGAGGAGTATATTGCTCTGCATTTCGGATTCTCGCTCGAAAGCAGTCGCAGAAAGGGTGCTGTGACAATAACACGTCTTCCCGACCTTAGGCCGAGCAAGGGGATACTACAGACTACGCTTCACTGCTCCCTCAGAGTTTCATGGCCCTGCCATACATGGTAGCTTCTGGCCAATGGAAATTCCAGCAGTTAGTCCCTCAGCAATACACACAGTCACCTCTTCAACGTCCCTTATGTATGGCTTGGCATGTCACATCCTCGGTCAAGACAAATGGTAAGTGCCACTGTCTGTGTTAATACTCTTTTGCTCAAAAGTGGTGTCTCTCTTCAGGATGAACGTTCACCCAACCGCTAACGGAACCCATTTGTTCCACTTTGTCACAGAGGCCTTGCCAGCAGCCGTAGCAGCTGGTAGTATGGGCAGATAATATTGTCGGAGCAGATGAGTTCCGTTAGTGGTCGGGTGTACGTTCATCAGTGAG